CGCCGCCGCCGCCGCCTCCGCAAATCACCCTTTCCTTCTAAGCCACTTCTTCTCCCTCTCAACAAAACCCCCATTCTCTTTGACCCCCTCCACCCCTCCCCCCAATATCTTCAGAAATACAATCAAGCTGGCAGGAAGTAAGCGCCGAAGTTTTTCTAGCCAGGGTGGGTTGCTGAACCGAATGTTCAGTGGCTCCTCGAGCCCACCCAAAGATAGATCCGACACAACAATTGCCCGCTCCGGTGCTATTGACACGCCGCCTCTAAGCATTCGCACCGAGGATTCCAACGTCACCCCCAAGAAATTCTCTCCGCCAGGTGGTTTCTTCACACGGAGAACAAGTGAGGATCAGGGCCCTGGCAGTGAGAAGAAGCGCCGCAGTAGCACAGTCACGAAAGCTGCCTCATTCTTTACCAACGCCAAGAACTCCTTTAGCCTGTCAAGCAGCCCACGTGAGAATTCCTTCAACAACTATACCATTCAAGAGCAGCCTGGCCTGGCAAAGTTTGGGAGCATGGACCCTGCCTTGAGCGTTCCTCAAGGGTCATTAAACAACTCTGCTGGTGAATCGCATCCCACTGCACGCTCGTCATTCAGAGTCGGCGTCACAGAGGACCGCAATCGAAAATGTCGCCGGACTATGGAAGATACCCATGCCTATTTGTACAACTTCCTGGGGACTCCCGCACTCTCAGCCCAGGGTGAGACGGGCACGAAAGCGATAGCCATTCCTACTGGCCCTTCTCCCACATCTGAGAAATCAACCAGCGTGGTTGAAACCGACAATGGATACTTTGCCATCTTTGACGGACATGCAGGCACATTTGCTGCTGAGTGGTGCGGAAAGAAGCTGCATCTGATCCTCGAAGATGTAATGCGCAAGAATCCTAGCACTCCCGTTCCGGAGCTTCTCGATCAGACATTTACCAGCGTCGATCAACAGCTGGAAAAGCTGCCTTTGAAGAACAGTGGATGTACTGCCGTCATTGCTCTGTTGAGATGGGAAGACCGCGTACCCAGCTCGCATTCCGCCACGGGGTCATCAGCCCTCGCATCCGCCGCCGCCGCCGCCGCCGCTAAAACCGATACAGATTCCGATGAGGCGGGCGACACTCCTACCCAGGCTGCTGTCTCGAGTGCACTTCCCAAACTACAAGAGAAGGCGGCTCGTCAGCGCGTCCTCTACACTGCCAACGTTGGTGATGCACGCATTATCTTGTGTCGCAATGGCAAGGCTCTTCGTCTGTCCTACGATCATAAGGGCAGCGACGAGAACGAAGGAAAGCGGATAGCAAACGCTGGAGGATTGATCCTGAACAATCGCGTTAATGGTGTTCTCGCTGTGACCAGAGCTTTGGGCGATGCGTACCTGAAGGATCTTGTAACCGGACACCCGTACACCACAGAGACCGTTATACAGCCAGAGTCGGACGAGTTTATCATCTTGGCCTGCGACGGGGTAAGTCTTCCATTCACCAGACTATGCGTTATAGTGTTGCTGACCAAGTAATTTCTAGCTTTGGGATGTGTGCAGTGACCAGGAGGCTGTTGACCTCATCCGGAATGTGCCCGATGCCCAGGAAGCGTCTAAGATCTTGGTTGATCACGCGCTTGCCCGCTTCAGCACTGACAATCTCTCTTGCATGGTTATTCGCTTCGATACGGAACGTGTCAAGGATGTTGTCAACCGCACCGCTGAGCCCATTGGCGTCGAAGGCGATCGGGAAACTGAGCATGGTGTCAGCGAGGCTGACAAGATTGTTGAGTCAGCTCGAAAGAGTATGGCCAAAGCTGGAATTACAGACAATCCGGAGAAGGCTGAGAAAGTCCAGGAAGAAATTCTCGAGAAGATGGCGAATGAGCAACCCGAGCCTGCACCACCAGCGAAGGAAGACAACGCTGCCACAATTGCGGATAAGTTGAAAGTGCCTGAACCCAGAAATCCAACTGCATAAGTGCTCTGGAATGGACTACGACGCGGTGTATTGTTCTGCTTAAAGTCGATAGAAGGACTGGGCTCTTGAACCCGGCCCGTTTTCTCGCTACAAAGGAGTTTATGGTCGCTTCTGCTCCCTCTTCCGTTTTGACCGTTCATCTTCTTTCTAACCATGCGTCTCTGACGCCACTCGCGGGCTTCGTACTTTCTTGTTTTATTCTTCTCTCTCGATGGGCTAAGGAAAGGAGTCGCAACAACCCGTCCCCAATCCCGTCTGCTTTTTTGCCTTCGTTTCCTCCCCCTTTCTACTTCCACTGGATCCCCTCCAGCGATTTCCACCTTCGCTCTTAACCGCTTCTTTCCGTCTGATTTGACATCTGGGGCCTTGGACTCCCTTGGCTTCGCCGTGAACGCGGAAAGCGAGGACAGACCAGCTACGCCACGTCACTTTCAACCTAAAACATCAGCTGGTGCTCTTGTACGCTACAAATCGATGTATATTTGATCCGCAGGTCTGAACCAGAAGAAGCATGAAACAAGTCACCTCCGCAGACGTCTCTTCGTTTAGCTTTTCATTCGTCTGTAGGGATGGATGAAATATTGAACTAATTCCAATTGAGTGTTTGTGTGCTAAACGCCATCGCATCATCTCCTCGAACAGGGAGAGGGAAAAAAAAAAAAAAAAAAACTAAAATCTAAAAATACATTTTGTATCATGTAGAGGAACAGGCGGTTATTTCGCAAGTATGTATATCGACACACACACCCACATTGGGGAAGCCATCAAGTACAAAAGAGAAAAGGAAAAATCCCGCGAGCTGCTTAGTTCTTCTCAGGGACGGCCTCGGCCTCGGCCTCGACGCCCTTCTCCTTGAAGGCGTTGTCGGCCAGAATCTCGATGTCGCCGCTGTGGATGCGCTTCTGGCCGGGCATGACATGGTCGCGGGTGAGTTCCAACTCGCCGTGGCGGACGCGGTCCGGCCACTGGGCGGCGAACTGGGCATCGTGGAGATCGGTCCAGAGGATCTTAACGCCGTTCTCGGCCTGCAGCAGGGCGGCGGTGGCGGCGTCGTCCTCGACGACCTCCTGGATCTTGTAGTCGATCTGGGGCTTGCTTAGGACCTTCTCGAAGGCGGCGACGCGCGTGGCCCGGGCGGCGGCGACGGCGGCCTCCTTGACGCGGGCCTGGCGCCGGCGCCGGCGGGCGGCCTTGCTGAGGTAGCCGCGCTGGCCGCTGGCGAAGCCGTTGACGATCTCCTCGGCCTGGATGTCCAGGACGGCGGCGACGTCGGCCACGGAGGTGGCCTTTTGGTTCATGACGATGCGGGCGCGGTCCTTGGGCTTCATCAGCCACCCCTTCTTGTCGGCCCACTCCTTGTCGAACTCCTCGGCCTTGTGCGGGTCGCGCGGCCGCTTCTGCGCCAACCACTCCTCCGTGATGGTGATCATCTCGCGGGGCGGGGCCAGCTGCCGCTGCATCGCGAACTCGCGCAGCAGGTGGTACGCCCGCAAGCCGAGCTGCGCGCTTGTGAAGTGCACGCTGTAGTACGGCACCCACATGTCTTTGCGGAGGGTCGCGGGCACCGTCTTCTTGCCGTGGTAGACCAATTGGCGGAGGACGCTGTTTTTCTGTAGACAGAAAGATGAAGAGAGTCAGTACATGTGCTATTCTGAATAGAGGAATACCCTTGTTTTCTCTGTATCTTTTTCCCTTTCCTGTTTTTTTGTTCGATGCCCGGGGAATTGGTTCGGGTTGTGCTCACATCCAAATATCTCGTCAACGAGTACACCACCTGGTTGGTCCGCATGTTGTGATAGACGAAGATGTTCTTGCCGTGGGTCAGGGAGTTCAGGGCCTTGCGTAGCCGCGTGCCCTCTAACACCTGATGTGTCTTGAAGGCATTCGAGTGCGCGTCACGGCGACGACCCTGGATGACGGTGTTCTCGTCGATCGGAGGCCGACGCACGACGTTCCATGTGCCCATCTTGGTCGGGTCCAGGATCTTCTGGATCGGTTGCATGATCTTCTTCATCGTGCCGCGCTTGGGGACTGCTGCATTGGTTGCTGCGGTGGTGGCCATTGCGGCCCGGGTTTGCGCGGTGGTTGTTGTGTGTGTGTGTGTGTGTGTGTGTGTGTGTGTGTGTGTTTCTCCGGGTCGGGGGGAGGCGGAGACTCGAGGGGGTTCGTGGTCACTCTCTCTTCACTCTATCAGATATTCCCGGAATCCGATAGAAGGGGG